CTAGACATATGATGTTACGTCCTATGTTTCATAATACATATCTTACTTTCCCATATAATCGCAATGTCAGTTGAGATGTTTCTTGAAGTGTATGGTAAGTTGTTTTATGCCTATCTTGTAAACTGTGATATTTTTTATCTTGAACAATTGTGTGGATATTTTGACATTCTCATTGGTATAAATGTGGTCACCAAGATGTTCTTGAAAAGCATATCAGTTATTGTGAACAGACTAACAGAGTCCAGAATGATAGCAGAGTTAGAATTATATGTGTGCATAATATTAGGTGTATTTTACAAAACTGTTCTGAAAATGAGGCAGAAAAAATGGTATATGCATTGATATTCCAACAAGTTCTTGCCCTTTATCTCACTCTTAACATTCAGAAACAAGTCTGCCGTGTCTTCTGTGATAAGGCAGGTTGGTCATAGCATCCCTTGAACGAAAAGTGTAAGCATGCATATTAAAACAAGCTTTCGGGAAATGATGTGCTACTCCTTCATGCCTTTGTAATGGTAATAAGTAGCTTACATGATTTTAGAACTGTTGCAGCATTTTCTCTGAGACTTTGGACTATCCTCATTGTCCCAACTAAGTATAAAGTGATTTTCATTTCTTTGTTACTTTCAAGAACCATCTTGATCACAACAGATTTTGGTTTCGTAAGGATGTCGGAAAAGTTATAACGCTTTTTTATATACTGTATTTACTTGTGCATTTATCATCGAAACACAAGGTTTTGAAAATTTTTAAAGTTTTTAAGCGAGTTTCCCTAAATTTTAAAATGGTTTTGTCCACATAGTGATGTTTTCATCTTGCTAATCGATTCGCTCATGTGTTGAGGGCATGGACTCTGACTTATGAAGCAATAATAGTGAAAAGCTTTAAGAAAACGGGAATATCTAATGCTGAGGATAATCATTGCATGTGGAAAGATAGACTGAACAGTTACGAAGACAATGACAGCAGTAATGATGGCAATGATTTGCAAGCTGTAGCAGATAGCATTGATAGCACTTCCAGCAGCATTAATTATTTGAGACCTAGGGAGTAGCTGTTAACAACAATAAGAGTGGGCGAAATTCAAGTTACAGGAAGTAGAAATGATGATATCTTATTAGATATTGCTAATGATAATATTACTATGTAGTCTTATTGGAATATTACTGTGTAATCTTATTGGAATATAGGTTTCTTTTAAATAAGTAATATTGGGGTAGTTACCACTAATTAATCCATGAATACTTTTCATTTGTTATGTTATTACTGTAAACGTGTCTTTCGGAAGTTAAATTATTCACATAATTTTCTCCTGTCAATTTTTGTACGATAAAATTAGTGAAAAACGGGAGAATAATTGTGAATAAATGTAGCGACAAACTTTTAGGGAAGGTAGGGCCCATCATAAGGATTAAGAATTGCATAGCAACAAGGATGTAGCGACAAACTTTTAGGGGAGGTAGGGCCCATCATAAGGATTAAGAATTGCATAGCAACCCATGACCGGAAACATCGCTGCATGGAAGAGTATAAAAGACGGTGAACTTGCAGACATACACTTAGTGTATGGAATAGTTAAGGGCAATGGACGAGTCACTAAACGAATTTATGAGAACGCTTCCCAGACAGACATCAACTGCACTACAGTGTGTTTGCATATGTGCATTGAAATTTATGCGAGTATGAGTCATTAAAAAATAGCAGGTCTAGTGAGGGATGATTGACGCGTTCGGTCAACATGGAAGAATGGTTGCCCTAAAGACTGATCCCACAATTAGCAAATGTGCCGTTGCCTTAAGGGTATCTCTTTACAGTGTACAGTGTGTTTTGAATGCCAAGTCCTTACACACCTTTCATCTCCAACGGGTTCAGTTATTGCTATCCAGTTATCATCCTGCACGTGTGCGTTTCACACAGTGGTAAACATTGTCCGAGATGTGAATTTTCCAGCTTATGAGTTGTTCACTGATGAGACCGCATTCAATAGGAATGACATATTTAATCATATTGTGGGCTGAAGAAAACTTCGTAGGTATGCAGCGCAGCATCACTTCGCAGTAAATGTGTGGCAGATTTGGTCGGCAACTGCTTAGTCAAGCCATATCTTTTACCACCCCACATGACCGCTGCGAATTATTATATATTTCTGGAGTAGGCTCTTCCCGGCTAATTTGACGATGTTCCAGCAAATATTAGGCGCATTGTGGTTCCAACATGATGGGACGCCTGTTGATTTTGGACTAGCTGTTCATAGGCATTTCAACAGGTCGTTTTCTGCATCAATGGATTGGGTATTGTGGACCGCTTCCCTGGCTCCCATCTGATTTCTCGAGCGTTGACTTCTTTCTGAGGGGGAGCGTTCAAAGCTGTTGTATATCCGCAGTGGCTAATCGCAACGATGGTGCGAATGGCTATTCGCACCACCTACGTTCGCGCATGCGCACAAGCAGCTCAAGTACCAGCATTTTACGCCGATTTCCGTAAGGCAGACGGTAGCGAGAGCGAAGGTTGTTAACACTAACTCAGTAATAGAAGGGTTGTTAATAGTTCACCAGCAAGAAAATAATTTGCAAGTAATAATTATCAGTTACAAAGACGAGGTCAATCTATATACATGATAATATTCAGGAAATGATTAGATAAAATAGGGATTTAATGATGGTTCTAATTGCAAGCGAGGACGTGTAATTAGTTAAAAATCTTTAATGTATTGACAAAAAGGCTACAGAAATTACTTAAATTCTTTTATTTAACTGAGGAATTTTTATGCAAACTTAGACCCTTGTCTTATAGGACTGTCAGAATTTATTATTCAATAAGAAAACTTGCATTATAATATTCTTATATATTCATCACTTTTTCAGTATCCACACATGTTTATAGGTTCAAATGGCATATTTCAAAATCAAAGTTATTTATGAAATAAAACCTTATAAAATCTGATAAATTCTTTTTGTGCGCAAATTTTTGAATCTAAATCCCTTACATTAAATTATTTCTGTCTTTTAAATTACAACTCATTATTTATTTCCATTTAATTTATTAATGTGGTTTTACTAATATTTCAAACTTCTTTGAAATACTTTTTGTGTCCTGAAAATGCGAAGTATTTCCATAAAAAAATAAACAGTCATACAAAATTGATAATAACCAGTATTATATGATTAATTATTCATTTAATAGTTGATTTAATCGCTTTTAACTTATTTCATGTCTAAATTTTCTACACAGAAATCCTCTGTCTAATTTTTATTATCTTTTCTCAGACAATTTTCAGAGGATATGAATTAAAGTCTTGATTGTGCAAAACACATCTTTAAAGCTAAATGTATTCTAAGAAGTACAAAAAATGTAAACAAGATTTTGTTCCCCCCCCCCAAATCAGTCATTTAAACTATTCCAACCGTTCAGGAAAACAATAAACATTGTGAACATAAAAATCTGCCCCTTTTTATATATACTTTAATAAAAGGAAATGTGTCCCTTCTTTTAATGTATAAAAGAAAAGGAATCCATTTTCCTTTCTAAACTTTTTGTTAAAACCTTGTTTGTTTCTAAACCTTTTGTTTAAAGTCGCCAACGCTCAAAAAATGATAAACTACGCCAAGGTAGTAACCAGCCTTTAAAAAAAAAAAAAAAAAAAGATTCACTACAACACTTAGGCTGTTCTTTTCGATTGGGTTCAAATGACGGATCCGACAACTCAATGCGTAGCATCGGCCTTGTATATCACGATCCTGTTGAGTCTGAAATGGATCTAGCGACAAGACTCGCCTACGCTGCTGCTGCATTTAAAGAATCTCCCGATGTGTTTGACAATCTCCGGCAATCAATATTTTATTGGTGTCAGGCATGCTTGGCTTCTGATAGTCCTGACTTCGAGCGTCATTAGGAACATTAGAACTGTATTCATTCGTATGCCATTTGTACTCATGATGCCCAATAAATGTTTCAAATTAATCACTCTCTCGTGTCCTTTGCAATATTCTACCCATGCTACCACTTATCCTTGATATTACCTGTCATGAGTTGCTATGCAATTTTCAATTCTTATGATGTGCCCTGCCTTCCCTGAAACTCCGTTGCTACATTTTTAAGACACCCTATATATGTGTGTAAGTGCGTGCGTAAAATTTAAAAAAGTATGGTAAATGAAAATTGTAACTTTGCTTTGCAATAAGCCTTTAACTGCCTGTTTTAATTTGCCCATTTTCCCTTTCTGTTATAAAAATAGTAACTGCTTATAGTAAATCTCTCAAAACTGTGTCATTTCAAAATCAATCCATGTCCCCCCTTATGATTCTTTCATAATGCTAATGATGTGGACAGTTACAGAATGCTTCAGCCATTAACAATTTTAGATGTTTAAAATTAGCTAGTCAAAACATATCTTAACCAAAACTAACTCATTTTTTATCAAGATTTTATCTTGAATATGTCACATTGTGACTGTAGCTCCTGTGCTGTCAGCCTACAGCTACATCTGCCTTTGAATATATTCAAAATTGTAATGGTACTGGTGTAGTTCTTCAAAAGTAGCCACAATTTATATCCCACTTTATCTGTGTTGACTTGAAAATATTCTTCACCGAGAATAAAAAGAATACTAATTTGGTTCCTAAATTTGCAATTATTTTTTATACATCAGCATCTGCCATCAATATTTAAAAAATCGAATATATACATCAATTCGATTCATTGCATTTATACATCAATTCGGCACCTGAAGAAGAAGGGTCTGTTTCTGATCACTCACTCAGAGAATATTCAAAATCTATATTACCGAAACTTTGCTTTTTGTCTCAATTTTAAATATTTAGATTATATTTGTTGATTCTACTGTAATTCTGTATATTTAATTTGCAAGATTATGTTGTCATCAAAGTTTTTTCTTTTCTTTTCTCCCTCTTCTTTCCTTTCTTTTTTTTAAATAATAATAAAATTCTTTATTTTTGTTTTCTGAAAAATATTTTCTACTTTTAATGTTGTTTTAATTTCAGATTTCCAGAATACACGTCCTGCTATGCAGCTGATGACGTATAATCAGAATGTTTTACCACAAAGGTATCAGTTTTTAAAAGAATATTTAATTTTAAGCTACAAATGAGAAATCTTAAAATTTTATGAAAGATTATTGTTTTTATTAGTTACTTTAATTGTTGCAGATGAACGAAAAGCTAATACTTACGTTTTTTCTTATGTACTATACTAAGTTTTCTCTACTTATATCATTAACATGATGAGATGTCTAATAAGTTTTGTCCTTATATAATTAGATAATTAGCCTAATAACTTTTATCATATATATTTATATAATAGCATCTTGAATACTGTTTTGAACACTGATAATTTTTTAGAATTTTGATTTTAAGAAATTGATTGTGTGTGTTTGTGTATGTATGTAGCATGTTAGCTTAAATGGGAATCTAAATGTGAAGTAACACATATTTCTGATTTGAAGTGGAAAATAAATCGTATTAAATGGATTTTAATGAATCTAAGTGTGTAGAAATATTAGGTATTTTTTGAGAGCAGTAGACATGAAAAATGAGCAGTGCCTTCCCCGGGACTCGAATCACAGACCTCTCAAATACGCGTCGAGTGTGCTGACCACTACACCACGATGGCATGCTAAGAAGGCAGGAGAAATATCTTATATACTCCCCCTTTTAAAAGGTGTCTGGGGATTAGGGGACCCAATCGCCAAATGGTGGTGAAGAATCATGATCCACCACATTTTTAGTTTGGTCTCCACTGTACAGACATTAGGTTATTTTGAAGCCGGGAGACGTGGAAAATGAGCAGTGCCCTTGCTGGGACTCGAACCTCGGACCTCTCGAATACGCGCCGAGCATGCTGATCATTACACCACGAAGATATGCTAAGAAGGCAGTAGAAATACTTTATGAGTGTATTTATATAAAAATGCTATTGTTAATTCAACAAGTCAGGTGTCATTTCAGAATGAATTAGAATACGTAAGAACAAAGTGGATGATAATGGAGGCATTTGAATTTATTAATGTTAATTTGTTTAGATCTGTTTTTATTTTGTGACACATAAAAGAAAAATCACCTTAAATACCTAAAATTATGACGTAAATATTCAAGATGTTTATTTAAATGCAAATTTTTAATCAGAATTATTAACTAAATATAGCAGGGATGGACAACATCCATATTCATATAAGAGCCACATATAAGAATTTAGAAAAATCGAAGAGCTGCTAGTAGATTTACCAAGGAATTGGAAGTATTTACGTATATTGATTTAAAAAGAGTAAAACAAATTTTGAATGACAAGAAATATTCAAACTAATCTAATAATGATCACATTTTATAATTAATGGATAATATTATGTAATAATTATATTATTTTAATAAATAATTGTGCACTAGTTCTAATATTTTATAATTACCTTCCATGACACACAAATTTTAAATTCTTGTATGAGGTATTGAACATTCTTTTTTCCAAATGGAAAGTAAAGCTCCCCCCCCTCGATTTCCAATTTTTTCTCTAATTTTAACTCACATTTTCAACTGATTTAATAGAATGTAGTAGATGAATTCTTCTAATTCATATGCACTGTGTACTGAGGTTACGCAGTTGTCATTATAGAAGGACTTCAGGAGTTTGTCGGTAATTGCTTTGAGTTCTTCTGGATATTTGTTCAAATGGTATCTTATAACTACGCTGAATAAAAAAGGGCTACAAGTAACTCCAAAAAGCACTCTGTTGATAGACTTTAATTTTAGCTGCCTTCTTCCACCATAAAAATCTCAAAAATCGGCGATTTTCTTCCTTAACTTCAATTTGGAGGAAGGCTCTTCTAATGTCGGATATAACAGCAATTCTCGAAATCTAAGTAATATAACCAAAATTTCTTCGATCAAGTTTAGTCCTTTGAAGAGACAGTCATTTAGGGATGGTGCTCTTCCAACTTTGCACGAGGCATCAAAATCTGGTGGGATAGACATAGTGGTATTCTCTGGCTTAATAACTGGATGGTGACACAAATAGTGGCCTCCTGCTTCTTCTAATTCCTCTTTTCAGACTTCCTGTGTGACATTACCTTTCCGCCATTCTTTAAAGACTCTCCAGATTTACTTAACTTCTTTAATCTTCTGGTAGTGGTAAACAACCTTCCTTCTGCTTCATTTTTATTTTAAGGAATGTTTGTGTCAATACAAGTCCATGGAACACCAACACGGTAATGCCCGTCTTCACTTCTAGTAAGTTCTTTAAGGAAAAATGTCATGGGCTAGCTCTTCTTCTTCCTTCTTAGACAATGTTGCAGCGGGATCGTTCATTCCTATTGTTTCTAGCCGCTATAAATCTGGAGCGTTAAGGTCTCTCAGAGATTAATTAGTCATCAATGCCAGCTGTACCACTACTCACACAACCTTGGGGTGGATTCTCTAACTCACCGCAAATTTTCCATCCAAGTTTTCTCTGAATTGCTGTTAGACCACTGTTCAGCTGCATGATTCTCCTCGTTAGGAGTTGGCCATAAACGTCGCTGCCAATTAAAATTTCTATTTTTGAACACTCAGTCACCATATCTGATATGAAAAGTCTATGTTTCTTAAGCTCTTCTAGAACAAACTCCTTTGCAATGCGTGGAATTTTCCCACATAGCTTTTCTTGGTCAAGGAATTCAGTTGTGAGAACTCATTTGTGACCATTACACAGTGCACTTAATTTAATTTTATATTTACTATGAGGTTTAGTTTCTATTTCTGCACCTCCACATACCGTGTGGGTAACAGTTGCTGTAGCGAAAAGTTTAAGACCAAGTTCTCAAGCGGTGCTCTTCAAAATATGGAAGTTTGCTTTTATCAGTAATTTCTATCGTTTTACCTATTTGAGGACAGAAAAGCTCTGTATGAGGTTTTGAGCAGACATGACAGCGTATAAAAACTTTGATGCAGACTTTGAACTCATTTTGACACGGTGGCTAAAGCATAAACATTTCAGACAACAGTTCTTTTCCCTAACTTCCCCACCCTAGGGAGAACGACCTGGGGACTACGCAGTTATTACTTTCATGCGACTTACCACAGAACGAACACGACATTTCTTTAGCAGCAAATAAACCAGCTACAGTATGGTACTTGTTATCCCTTTTCAATATTTTCTCTTTTGGGATAATACAAGGGATTTGGGGGATATTTGTACTTTCAAAGCCTGATCTGGCTAACTGTAATCTTTCTTCACCTGTTACCTCTTTCTTCAAAAAGTTCATTAACAATGTTAAACTTGACTTCGCAAAACTCGCTTCACTATCAGAAGCTTTCTTTTCCCTAATGTTGTATCTCTGCCATGCTCTTAAAATAGCATCAGGTAAGCAGGATTCTGTCATGGGATACAGCGAGGCTGAATTACTTTCTATATCAAGCCTCATGGATTCTAAAGACCTTAAATGTGATTCTACCTTCATAAACAAGTCTCACAATGATAATCTGTCTTTACCCCTAGCTTGAACATTTGCTGTACTAAATTTCAAAAATTTCCTCACATACACTTCAATAAGAATATCTTTGTCCTCATAACGCTCTTGAAAAGCTAGCAAAGCTTTCCAATAATGAATTTTCTGGTTACTCGAGCTGGGCATTTATTAGAAAGTCATCGGGTAACTTTCTAATAAATGCCGAGCTCGAGTTCCAGGTTCTACAGCTTGTAGTAAATATTGGAACTTATCACAATCATCTAATTCTTTATCTTCATATATCTTCTTAAACTGCACCCAAAATGGCAAATAATTAATTAACTGAGAATCAGTTGGTTTTATATTCAGTTCAGGTAATTCATACCGTGGCAAACAGAATTTTTTGCTTTGCATATATTCAGATCATTCTGGTCACTTGTTGTTATTTTATAACATTCTGAAATCAGAACTTTATTTATAATCACCTTACATTTATGTATTTGAAATATAAAATTTTAATTTGTAATAACCTTTGAAGTTTTTCTTTTAATTTGATATTTTCCTTTTTCTTTTCTAAAATTAGCAATGTGCTCTGATTTTTATGATGTGTATCATTTATAAATTAATGGCTTTTGTATGTTAATTATATGTATACAAAATAATGTGAGGAAAAAAGTATCCAGTACTGTTGAAATAAAAAAGTATTATGGATCAATAATGGAACAGTTCTGTGGGGCAGAGGGGTTAAAAATTCATTATTTAATTTTTAGTTTTTGAACTTAATATTCTCTTCTGCTTTTACTGAGGAAACATAGTCTACAAGTTCTAAATATTAACATAATGGGTATACGTATCTCATAACCAAATCAACTGCATATCTCTCTCCTTAAATTGTGACCCTCAATTGTATTGCACCATGTATAGTAAAAATACAAGTAATAAATAATTTTATTATGACATGGCAATCATGAATTATCATTCTTTAGTTTACGCAGGGCGTAGCAGAAACAAGTAAATGCATGTACTGCAGTGTTTGTTCTTTCATTTGAACAATTCTTTTAAATGTCAAACACAATTTGTTCTAAATATCCATGATTAAAATTACTTTTCATTTTCCATGTTCTTCATACTGCATTTCTGAGTTCACACTTCGTATTCCACCACTCATGTTATGAAATTGTTACTTTTTTCCATGTTCTGCCACTTCATAAAGCTGTGAATGTGCTTACAGAATTCTGAACATCTATAAAAAACTAATTTTCACTGCATTAATAATGACTAAATAATGATTGCTTTTTTATTTGTGTTAATTCTTTCTTATATTAATATCATATATATATATATATATATATATAATATAGAATGATTTAGGTCTAAATTTTTTTTCTGATTTACTACTTACTACCTTATATATATGTATATATGTAAAATATAAAAAATACGATAGCTTTGCTCTGCGCGAACAGGCAACCTCTAATTAACGTTCTGCAATTTCAGGATCTTTCTCATAGACCAACATTCTGGTATGTTACATAACATTGCTGCGAATTAATTTGCAATATCATTTAAATTCTGAAAGCATGTGCAAATTAAGTGCAAGTATCTAAAAACATGATAAAATATTTAATAATGC